TTTGTAGGTGAAATTTGATGTTTGAATGTGGCCGACTTGAATGTCGGATTGGTGGACTAATGTGGTGAGTTCGTGATTTGAATTCGAATAATGCAACGTGTTAGAATGGCAAATTGTATTGTGGTGCATGTGCATGAGGAATGTCCTGAGGCGTGGTTACGCGAGACTAATCCCAGATTGATCAGAGAGCTGCTAACCTAAGGCGTGGTTATGCGGGTGTGGTTAGAAAGGCAAGAAATGGCCTGAGACATGGTTATGCGAGTCGAGAGAAATGTCTTGAAACGTGGTTACGCAGGATTGAGCCTGGATTGATCAGAGGGCTGCCAACCTGAGGCGTGGTTATGCGGGTGTGGCTAGAAAGGCAAGAAATGACCTGAAGCGTGGTTACATGAGTCGAGAGAAATGCCCTGAGACGTGGTTCCGTGGGACTGAGCCCGGATTGATCGGAGGGCTGAGCCTGAGGCATGTTGACGCAGGCTGTGAGATTGGACCTGAGGCGTATTGACGCGGGTCGTGAATAGTTGCTCGGCCACGCATGCGAAATGTGTGTGGTTGAATTAAGTGAATTTACGTGGTTATGGCGTTTGAGTGGTGATGTTATGTTCTTGAATTATTATTGCTTCATGATGATTTAACTAATATGCAGGGTTGACACTTGATTTAAGGCGAGGTAAGTATGTTTGTGTGGAATCGAATGTGTTGGCTGTTAGATCGCATGTTAGACTCGTTTGGGTATGCATTAGCCTAGGTAGGGTATAGGTTGTCTGCTTATCGAGATTTATTCTCATTACTGTAGTGTAAACAATTTCATATCCTCGACCTTGAGCATGCCGCCAGCTAAGCGTTTTGGGGTCCCCATGCACACGGTGCATGAGGAGACCGAATATCCGGTAGGCTCAGATCAGTTTTACATTAGACACCTTACCACAGTTTGGGTAAATAAGGGTTTAAATGACCTGCAGTGCCATATTTATTTGGCTTGGTATCATCGTGTCAGGTTGGAGACTACTGGGTCGATCTGTGGTTTTGAGGGACTACAGCATGGTAGTGAGGATACGGTGAATTGGGAGCCTTGGGACAACTATACTCCCGATGGCGAGGTGACGGATCTCGACAATCCACCGGAGAACCTTGGCCCAGGACTCGAGCCCATACCAAAACCCAAGCCCAAGCCCGAGGAAGAGCCTATGGAGCCCAAGCCCAAGGAGAAGCCTATGGTGTCCGACCACAAGGACGAACCGATCGAGATCAACTCCGATACTGAGTCATAGTCTTCAGGGTCCGATTTGGATTAGGCATTGTAGGAGGATTTGGGTGCTGGGGGTCTAGAAGCCTTTTTTATAGAGCCCTTTTTGTGTATTCCGTAGTCTACCCTGTCACTCGTCTCTTTTTTTATGATGAAGGTGGATGCTAACTCTAGAAGCCTATATATGAATTTTATGGTCTCAAGCTAATAATATGAGTTTATTATTTTGTGCAAGTACTACCCTTTGTCATTAATTCTTATCTAGGTTGTTTGATTTCCACTTCCGCTTGCGTATGTCTTTGCGTGCTTCGTATGGGTCAGCGACGCGTCTTGGGACGTCACGTTCAATACGACCATCGAAGGGGTGTCGCGAGCCAGTTGAGGTTCGGGGCGTGACAAGTATACATTTGACAAATTTACCCCAAACTATTTTTTTTACCATAAAAAATTCTAAACTGGTACACTTGTGATAATTTTATCCCGAATTATTTTTTTACCACCAAAAACCCAACAATGGTATACCTATGACAATTTTACCTCAAACTGATTTTTTGACCACCAAAAATCCCAAACTGGTACACCTATGACAAATTTACGCCCCATTAATTTCGGTTAAATTTTATTATCAAATTGCTAAGTTTAATGGCACGTGGTAGTTGACAGGTATACCGGTTTGGGGTTTTACCCCTCTGTTTGTCACAAGTTTACCAATTTGTGATTCTTCGTGATATTAATCCAATTTAACGGACACTAACGGAGGGTAAATTTATCATAAAGGTACCAGTTTGAGGTTTTTTATGGTAAAAAATTAGTTCAGGGTAAAATTGTCACAGTTGTACCAGTTTGGGATTTTTGGTTGTCAGAAAATTAGTTCGGGGTAAAATTGTCATAAGTGTACTAGTTTGGGGTTGTTGGTGATAAAAAAAATAGTTCGGGATAAATTTATTATAGGTGTACCAATTTAGGGTTTTTCGTGGTATTTACCCTATATATAATATTCTTGCACAAAAACAATTGTTTTAATTGTAATTTATTGTGCCACGCAGGCAAACTATAGACGTATGAATAAAAATTGAGTATGATAACTATGTGCACTCAAAAGGATGCATAACTTCATTTATTCTCACAGCAATCATTACCTGATGAACACTTTCTTAGTAATTTTTATCATTTGCCAGTTATCTCTTATTAGTTACTTGATTATTATTAGCTGGAATGACTTCTTTTAGATTAATCACAGGTGTTTTACTGGCAAGTTAGTAGCAACATAGTCCGGAAATTCTCTGCAACTGTTTTTGAAAGGCTCGTGCACGTTTTTGAATGTTGAATGCGTTGACCATTGGGATTTTCCATCTCTCTTGATAGTTGTCAAAATCCACATATATACCGAGAACTTAGCAAATGACCAACTATCCCTTTAAAAAGAATGAAGGACCAAGCCTTCAACCAAAAATAGTGTGTCTATATATATATTGACCAACCAAAACCTTTTATTGAATGATAATTAGAACAAAATACAATGGATCGTGAATTAACCAATTACTAGTAATTTATGAACCCAATTTGATAAATTTTGTTCAAATAGTCTACAGTAAATTCCAATGCCACTCCCGAATCACTCTCCACATGCATTCAATTAAGTTTTTTCCTGTTCGGAACTGAAATGGTAGTAAAAATGGGCGAGGAAACCACAGTTCAATAAGTGACAGCCAATACTCCTATGGGATCAAGCAAGGAATAATGTACCTTTAGAAACAAGTTTGCAATCAATGTAACAAGTTTGATAATCACATTAGTTGCATTTTCCCATGTAACAAGTAGAATGCTTACTCCAATGAATCGTAAATTACACACTATATCATAAACCCACGTAATAAAACCAGCATATATCAAACTCAATGTCAAAAAACCCTGCACTCACACTTCTTCACATGACAAAGCCCAAAAAAATTGTCGGTTAAGCCTCGAAAATCACATCAGGTATGAATAAGCCCGTAACTCCAAAAATTCTAAAATTAAAGTATGTAAAACTTCAAAATGTTTGGAGAAACTTTCAAGAAGAAAGTGTTTGAAAATTCGGATCACAAAAGTCTCCCCAAAAATAACAAAATAAAGGGGTAGAAAGGATCCGAAATTGGGTTTTCCAAAACAAGAGTAAAAATTTAATTCTTATTGGAAAACCACCAAACTTAAACCATAGCCATTTTCGAGGGACTGAAATTGAGGATGTGACAGTCGCCCTCGCCTGGGCAGGCGAGGGCAGCCTTCGCCCTACGCCGGCGAGGGCAGCCTTCGCCCTACGCCGGCGAGGGCTGCCCTCACCCAATCTAGCGAGGGCGACCCTCGTCGGCATCGGGCGAGGGTCGCCTTCTCCTGGGCGGGCGAGGGCAGCCTCGCCTGATGCCGGCAAGGGCGACCCTCGCCCGACGCCGGCGAGAATCGTCCTCACCGAACGCCGAAGAAGAAAAGAAAAAAAAAAGAAAAAGACAAAAATACCCATGGGCCAAAGTATTGTGGGGTAAATATGTCACAAGTGGTATAGTTTGGGATTTTTCGTGTCACAAAAAAAAAGTTCAGGGTAAATTTGTTACAAATGGCATAGTTTGGGGTTTTCCGTGTCACAAAAAAAAGTTTAGGATAAATGTGTTACAAGTGGCATAATTTGGGGTTTTTGATGGCATTTTCCCTATTTTTTGGGGCTTGAAACATGTGAAATTTTCACAACATGTAAACATTGATACGTTACTTTCATATAATGTTTACATAAATTTTTAATATTTGAATGACAATTTAAATTCTAACGGGAAAGTTAAATTTGCTTTTGCTTTTTTAAAAAGCACAAAAAAATAAGTCTCAAGAAAATTCAGCTGACTCGGATCATCATGATTACTTTCTCTACTTCTATTTTATTATGTGTCATTTGTGAAACCGAACTAAAGTTAGGTAAAATGGAGCTTAATGGTTGAGTCACACCATTACAAAACTGGATTCCCTCCCACTTCCCTTAACGTTATTTAAAAATGCTACTTTGCAATAAAGTAGAGCAAAAAAATAATCATCTAATTTAATCTTTCTTTACATACTAGAGCAATATATCAACATCAACTTGCCTCAATTATTAAATTGGATGCAATCTTTTATGTATTCGATAGATTGTGAGAGCTAAAGTTAGAAATTAGGACCATAATTAAATTGGGAAGAAAGTGACATAAATTGATTATAATAGGTTAAACATGTAAATGGTACGCATGCATCTTGACAAAACAACCTAATCAAGACCTAGTTTCCTAATCATTTTTTAATTAATCTTTCATATTTATAAATATTTTTTTCCTTTTCTCATACCACCGTTCCCACAACACACGAAGTTCAATTTTTTTCTCTTTCTTTTTGAACCTTTCCTTTATCTTACTCTCCCGCCCATACACAAATTCAAGTTAGTGGTCTAGGTGAATCAATTTCGGCTTCTTCCTTTTTCTTGTTCATGGCGAGGCTAACCTTCCTCAGGCACCAAATTACATTCGTTCAACCTATGCATCGGTTGTCTCCTTTTTCTACCTTTACTCATTAAACCAGGTCCTCGACGAAGCTTCGATTGAACATAAACTAATCTAGCACCAACAAGAAAATGTATGCAAGAGCTCCAAGTAATACCTCAGCATCATTAGATAACATATGACCAGCAAGCCACAACCGCAATCCAGCATGAACGCAAACACAAATTCGCATTGCATTTTTACATCCGCTAAAACACATATTCACATTCAACTCACAGAGAAGACATGATCCGGAGGAATTCACTATTAGAAAAAGATATGTACAGCAAATGGGATCTGCGCTCCGATGTATTAGTCTACATGATCATTCTATGCTTCAATGAACGCACCAGCGACCATCGACCGAGTATTTACAGTTCAGCGCATCAACTTTTTCAGCTAATTTTCACAGAGTCAAGTTCATCGCCTTAGAACACCAGAAGCCTATCGGGACCGAGACAATTCCGGAATGGACTCAAAAGTGAATATCAATTTAGATATACTTAACCTATACAGCTGGTGCGGTGAATCATTCAAGCGGACAAAGATGATCTTACCCAGATTCGAAGTCATATTTAACTTAACCTAATTTCACAGAGTCGAGTTTATCGTCTCAGGCATTTCACCAAACACTTAATGTGCACTCGATTGAATGGCACAATGCAGCAATGAGATTGTGAGAGTCACAATCCAATCAGTACGAGATCATCGAGACTGAACCGCAGTTATTAACATATTCTCAGACGTGAACAATTTTCATGCTAGCAACAACAAAGCTCTCTCGGTTTCTATTTTACACGCGGAAATGGAATGATGTTTCTGAACTTCCACGCTCCATGAAAAATTGGAAAGCTCGAAGGCTCCAAGTTGTCGGAGGTTTGAAGAAATTCTCCTTGGGTTCAATAAACTCGAGTTCATCGACGGAGCGCACAGATTCGAAGCTCAAGCGCGAGAACATCGTGATTTGAAGAGCAACGGATGTGGCGAGGTAAGCGGCCGATTCCGGCGCCGATTAGCGGCGGAGAAGCTTCTGGAACACGTAGAGGATCGAGAGAGAGAGGCTTCTTGGCTCCAATTCCTGTGCGATTTGAGGTGCGATTTGGCTAGTAGAGAACGCAAAAGCACCATAGAGGTGGCTAATAAATACGATAGAAAGCTTACCTATTAATCTTTAATAGAGAATGCAAAAAAAATATAACAAAATAACTTTAGATTACAATGATAAAGGCAACTAAAAATATGATCAAGTAGGAAATTCAGAAAATGTTTGATTGTGCATATTGAATAGAATTGAATTAGAAGAGGAATATGTTAGGAAATAGAAATGAGAGCCAGACTTGATAATAGTAATAAGTTGTTTTGTAGTTATTGATAAAGAAAAGTTATGAATTTGAATTAAAGGATATTCCAAACTAATCGATATCATTGCAATAGGAAACATAAATAGTAAAAGATTGTGTCCAAACTGTCTATGCCTGAAAAATTGAGGGGTATGTCCGTCATTTTGACCCCGCATGGAATCCTTTTGGTATTTATGAGAAAGGAGTGAAATGCATAAAATGCCTAAATATAGGATTGTACATTGCATAAATGTGCAAGTTCTGGTATTGCTTACTGGGTGAAGAGATTTTTTTAGGCAATTCTTATTTATTTAGAGAATAGGCAAAGATAAAGAAAGAAAGAAATTATGCAGAAGTATTTATTCATAGGAAGCATATATATATATATATATATATATATATATATATATATATATATATATATATATATATATATATATATATATATATATATATATATATATATATATATATTCGAGAGATCAACAAGGAGAGTGAACTTCCTTAGTCAAAATGCAATTTTATAGGAAAATAATAGCAACAATGTCACGTGATGATACGAAGAAGAGTTTCGAACCGAGAGGTATAATGTTGGCATGTAAATAAAGAAGGAAGAAATCGAGAACAGAAAAAGAAGTAAAAAAAAAAAAGAAAGAAAGAAAGAGCAAAGAGGTTCGTGCAAGTGAACATTGTGTGGGGCAAGAGATCGGTGAGAAGAGTAGGACAAGAGAGAGGATCGAGAAAGAACCGAAAAAAAAAAAGATAAAGAAAAAGCCAGGGAGGTCTGAAGAGGTGAGAAATTAACTCGTTGTATATATGAGGTGAGGGTCTAAAAAGGAAAAACGGAAAACAAAAAAAAAGGGTTAATATTACCAAAAATCTCAACCGTAAATTAATTTTTGGCATACGCATGCTACATTTATGCCAAATTGATTTTTATGTCACAAAAAATCCTAAAATGATATACACATGCCATATTTACCCCAAAGATTGAGATTTTTTGTGATACGCAAACCAGATTGGAGTAAATGCGGCATGGTTATACCGGTTTGAAATTTTTTGCGACACGAAAATCAATATGGGGTAAATGTGGCATGGGATACCAATTTGGGAATTTTTGTGGCACGAAAATTAATTTATGGTATGTGTGGCACGAATGTACTAGTTAAAATTTTTTGGTGATATTAACCCAAAAAAGAAAGAAAATTGCGCCTAGTTTGTTTCTCTTCTGCAAGTAACAAGATCTAAAATTTCCTTGTGGATTGGTATTAGCCGAACATACGTTGTATGTTTTGTGTTGACAACATGGGAGCATCCACACGTCATATGTGCTTAAGACAATTTCCATGAAAGTCCAAGGTCAAAGAGGAAGGTTTCTAGCCAAGTCGTTCTCATTTTCTTCGTAGCAACCGTGCGATAATCTGAATTCTCACGTCATTGCATTAAGATTTGTTCTTGAGGTAGGGAAACTTCGAGTGGATCTAACGTGCCTTCCCCCCTCCTCTGAATGCGTAGCCGTTTAGGATGCCCGATCCAATATTTTTGCATATTTCTATCACACGTTCTGTTGTCATCGGAAGTAATTAAAATGCCTTAGGACGAAGGGCTACGTTTTAAAAGTTCGATCCATAATATTATGTCCTCTTGCTTGTATGATTCGAGTCGCATCCAATCCCTTCCCGTCGAGAGGTCATCGTGTTAGCACTATTATATAATCGAATTTCGTGGGCTGACATTTCTTTCGCAACAAAATCGCCGGAACCGCTCATTTCGAGCGACATTTCTGCTACCACGATCTTCGAGGGCCATTAATTTCTGATTCATTTTGTTTATTTTAGTAATGTCCAGCATGCATTTAGGATGGATAATTTATGGTTATAAATAAAATTGATGATAAAAGAGGAGCATGTTTATTCCACATTGTTATCATATTCAGGATCATTACACCGTGTCATCGCACATAGATTTAGGTTACGAGGTTTTTTTGCTAGAATTTAGGTTACGAGTTGCTAGATGTGCCATCTACATGTTTAAAAGTCTTTTTTTTATAATAATATTACAAAGGATATAAAACACATTCGTGAAATTTGGGGCTTAATCCGACTTAGGCATTTTGCAAGAATTTGCATTCCATATATTAGGGTAATCTCATGCCTAGCTTAGGGTACCACTCATGGGGTTCCTATCCTGGGGCGTGATAACGAGGCTTTATTTAATTTTGCCCCATATGGCTCGGTTCTTTATTTTTCCGTACATCATTTACTTTTTTTTTTCAATGTTGCATAATTACGTTGTTATGTGATTAAGTGATTGATGGATATAATTGCACAATTTTGCGAATGCATGATCATTTAGATGGGTGCGCTTAGAGACTAAAAATGGATAAGATCGCATGATTAAACATTTATGAAATAATGAGAAAAGGTACCAAAATTGGGCGCTCAATAGAATTTAGCGTAAACAAGTAACCATTCCCGAATCTCTAGTTTGTGGAAGTGAAGTGATCTCCCAAGTTTCACTTGACTTCTAACTAGCCTCAAATAAGTTAGTGGTGACTCCTAAAAAAAGAACAAAACTTGCATAATCAACCGAGTCAATCAAAATCGCAATTGATAGGGTTTGGGAAAACCTAAACCAATTGTGAGCGTCACCTCATAAGAGGAACCATCCACGCTCCCTTAGTGATCCGTTCGCTCACCTCGAGGTGGCACTATGCCCTTGACAAGGCCCAAAAATATTATCGGCTATGGTTAAGCTCCAAAAATCACATCAATTATGAATAAACCCTGTAAATAATGTCGGTCGTGATTAGGCCTCAAAAAAATATTGGTCCGTGTGCCCACACACACACACACAAAATATATATAAATAGCATTTCAATCTAAAATATTTCCAGAAAACATTCATGAGAGGCTCAAAAGTATCCGATGCTTGATCAAGTTTTCCAAAATAGCATGCCATAGGATGATATTTATTTATATACCTTAAAATTACATGCCATGTCACATCACAATATAGCTTTTTCTCGGTAAATAATGTCACGAAATTTTTACAAAAAATGGAAAGTGGTAGAAATTACTTACCGCGATAAATCGCTAATTCAAACCGCACAACACAATCTCAGATTTCCTTCGTCCCTAAACAACAGCTGAATGCACTTGGGCTGAAAAGCCTATTCAGACCAAAATTACGCAAATGCCCTCCGAGACTCGATTTCATGTCCATGGCCCTGACACGCACCAAATGACCCAAAAAATATTCAACTCCGTGAGTCATCTGAAATAATCATTCTCTGAGAAAATAGATTAGGTTGCGCATGGCAACTATTCTGTGCTCGAGAACAGATTCTAGTCAGAAATGATTCTTTTTTATTCTGTGCCTAGGAATAATTTCTAAGCATTTGAAAGCATTTGGTAGCTGTCCAAATTTTATATTCTTATAATAGAAAAAGAATATAAATGCGTTTGGTAACTACACAAAATTTATTTTTATTAATAATTTTTTAATAATATTTTGAATTTTTTAATATTTCTTTCTTTTTTGTCCTTTTTTTTCCTTGGCCATGGTCGGTCGCCGGCGACCAGCAACAGGCAATAGGCTAGGGCCGACGAGGGCGTCACGGCCCTTGCCGCCGACCTCACTGTGATGACAAGGTCAACCTCGCCATGGCTGGGCGAGGCTCGACCTCGCCCAGTTTTGGCGACGCCAATCTCACCGTCGCCAACCGTGGCAATGGCGAGGTCGGCCTCGCCAAATCTGGGCGCGGTCAAGCCTCGCTCGGCCAAGGCAAGGCCAACCTTGCGGTAGCCACCCCCGGCGATGGCGAGGTCAACCTCGCTAGATCACGGCGAGGTCGAGCCTCGCTCGGCCAAGGCGAGGCCGACCTCGCCGTTGTGGGGGGTGCAACGGCGAGGTCGGCCTCACCATGGCCAAGCGAGGCTGACCTCGCCCTGGCCGGGCGAGGCTTGACCTTGTCGTCGCCATCCCCCGCGACGGCGAGGTCGACCTCGCCATGGCCGGGCAAGGCTCGACCTCGCCCAGATCTGGCGAGGCTGACCTCGCCATTGCCGGGGGTGGCGAGGTCGAACTCGCTAGATCTGGGCAAGGCCGACCTCGCCGTCGCCAGGGGCGACAAGGGTCGACCTCGTCGACGCCGGGGGCGACGAAGGCCACCCTCGCCGACCCTGGCCGATCTCCAATGGACCGAGAAGAAGATGAAGAACAAATAAAAAAGAAAGAAGAAAACCAAGAAGAATCAGTTCCAGAAAAATTGTTCCAAAATCAAGAAGCTAGTAGCTTCTTGATTCTATTCCAAAATTGATTATGAGATCAATTTTTTGCAAACTTGTGCCCGGGTACAAAAATTTTAACAAACGGATTTCTGCTCCCAAACTGATTATGGGAATAAAAAAACAAAAATTTTCACTATTTGGCACGTTACCAAACGGGCCCTTATATTATTTTTTAGAAAACTGAAACAAATTAGATATTTCCAATATTGCGCTCGCTAACCTTTTTTCTTCAATAATTGCATTAAACTTTTCAAAGGAGTTAGAATTTTCCACTACCAATATCTATATTCAAACTGACTGGATCGAGTTGAAAATTTTTGGATGTCTAGAAACCATGTTCCATGATTTGCACA